TTTGTTTACCTCGAATTATGTCTACCAATAAGTCTTGTCTTGCCGGTCACTGCCATGGAAGCCCCGTTCCAACCCAATAAGCCCTCAACAGCTTCAAAGACAGGCGACAGCAAGCTTTCACAACAGGAGCTTCGAAACGAGCCAGAGAGCTCGTGCCATGACACATAAAATAACAGCGGTATCTCACCCAACTTGACTTATTCTGACATTCGTTTTGTCAATGTCCGTTCTGCCTAAGGTGATATAAAATGGATAGCACCGAACCGACCCAAAAACACAGGCTTCGCTGGATGGACTTAATCAACTGGCGTTTTTCTTGTCATCTTAAGAACAGGTCGATAGACATTCATAGTCATGAAAAAATATTATCAGAGGCCAGTTTTATAACAAAATTCCGCCAAAGGATGAAATTTGGTTCAGATTTTCCTCCTCCGAGTTTTACAAATCTCGGAGCGAAACAATTCTCCTCCACGAAAATCCCCCGTCGTCGGGAGCGATTTTTATAAACAAAACGTGCCGCGAGAAGCGCAATGGTAATGCGCAATAATTGTAGAAAATGGGCCGATAAAAAAATCTGCCTCATCGTTGCGTTAAAGAAATAAAGCCAACATACTTTTATCAGAATGCACCCTAAGTAGGTTGCAATGGCTCAGAAACCTATCTGAAAATTAATTAGAATAGAATCAAGTTTGTTGCCCGGCAAGGAAAATACGCTTACCATTGTTTTACATTTACTCAGAGGTTGTGTACGTTCGTAGACACGAGTGAAGCCAAGATATAAAGGGCTAGATAGGACAACAGTTGTCCTTCAGGACGTGAAAGCCATCGACATCTTGGTAAAGACACTGAACCGTATGTGCAGGTTACGTGTTACGTTGGAGGCGTTTGGTATTTTGTGCTGGTGGTAACTACTTCGTCGTTTTGTGGCTTTTGTTGAATATGTTGCGTGGTAACATGGTCTCTGCGTGCCACGATATACCGCAAATGGCTATGGATTTGGGCTTTTCGTGCTGTTGTTATTGGCGGTGACGGAAGCGCCGATCAGGGCACATGGTCCCCTTTGAAGGAAACATTTATCCTCTAGTTAAGGTCAGTGCTCCCAGATTTTTCATTCATCGATGACCTCTTTCAACTTCTTAACTGACCTGCACCACTTCTTGTGTTTAACCTTACACGTTTGGGATATTGCAATTACTGATTTCTGCTAAAATAGCTTCCTGCCAGGTTCCTGGATGGTGCATCTCTTTACGTGGCCAGTCACATATAATTTTGATTATCTACTGCTTTGTGTTTGTAACAAGCGGTGCATTCAATGCTGTGTCACAATGCTGGCATTGTTTCATTGTCTGATACTGATGTAGGCACGGTGCGTTTATTGCTGTGCAAAAATCGCGGTAGGAGTACTGGTGGTTGTGTATGTTGCTAATACATATTGGCCAGTGCACTCCCAAAAGCTTATGATAGGTGCCCATTTGTGCAAAAGTTCTGTCATGGTGTGCCTTTGATTCTTTGAATAATGCATTACTACATCGGAATGACTGAGTTTTCTTAAGTTGATATTTGTTGTTTTTGTGCTTATTAGCGTGACTGACAGAAGAGAACTGTCATTGCAAAGTGAAATCTGATCCTCCAAGCACTGATTATTCCCAGGAATCAGAAACTGGTCCAGACGCCATGAAGACTATATTTAGTTTGAACTATTTACCGACGCTGCTACCTTCCGACACCCAGATAGACTAGGATTATGCACATTACGCCACCGTTTACCATCGTCACCATTATGCACATTATGCACATTAAAATACGCGTATGAGACATCAGCGCATCTATATCTTCATTCTCTCATTTTTCTCCGAAGAATAAGCCTATTACTACTACCTTAATTGCTCGTAGGTTTAAATGTTTCTTTTCATTACTTTGAACATGGTTTTATGAGTCCTGGAATTATGTCCAAATCATTTGGGGACAGTTTGGTCAACCACGCTGCAAATTATTTCCCTAGACATTGGTAGACTGGACATGGGCAGAAGTTTTAAGTGACATGCAGTGAAGCTACTGTCTTGGTGTTGCGTGTAGTATTTTGTCCTGCTTTCAGCCACAAGCAATGATGTCAACAACAAATAGTGGCGAAGAAGGACTGCCAAGAAGGCCCGGTAAGCCGCCAACAGTTCGACAATCCCGCATCCTTAAGTCACCGTTTGCAACTGAAAAACTGCGGTGGGCTGATCAATTCCTCAGCAGAAACAGTCAGAAGGCTGTCATGAGCACTGAGGAGCACCGCCACTACATTGGTCAGCTGGACGCGGCTCTCCTTGCAATGCCCTGGGGGGTGTTGGACAGTGTGGTGGTTTGCTGCATCGGTACGAATGTCGTGTGAGATCCCGGCCCCCACCTCCTGGAAACTCAGTTCGGTTTGAAAAACCACCCAACCGAGCTGGTTTGGATTCTGTTGGCCACCTACCGACATGTGTGTCTTCATTACCAGGCGAAGCTGCACAACCCGCACCTGCAAAGGCACACCAATCGCAAAAAATCACCATAACAGTTTGGTTTTTTGGCTTTTTGAATTAGAGCCCTTTCGACCAGACATGATCATTTCAGGACTATGGGATGAAGGAAAATGGTTAACGATGGGACGGACGTGCATGCGCCTAGGGGGCCAACCGCCGAGCTTTAACCCGCGCATGCGTGGGTACCCGGACGGGGTCCCCCTCTCACGGGGCTCTCGGCCCACTCGTGGCTGACGCACGCATCCTGTCCCGGACAAGCGGGGTGTCGCGAGGATGCAGGATGAGGCGAGATAGAGGATAAGAGGGACGGATGCACCACAACAGTGCTGTTTAGAGGAGGTTAGGCAGACTGTAGGCGCCGCCGTCTTCGTTTGCTGGGTGGTGTAGCCGGCAGACACCGTTTCCTACAACTGTAGGCGCCGCCGTCTTCATTTGCTGGGTGGTGTAGCCGGCAGATACCGTTTCCTACAACTCTCACATCTCCACGACCGTCGGGGTCGTTCGGCCTATTACCTGCTCTTTGTTTAGGCTTCTGTTGTTCAAAGTCTGGGATTTCGTAAGAAGAAGTGATCGTTTCGATATGCGATGTTGAAGTGCGTAAATTTGTGTGCGACGTTTGACCAATGATATGCCCCAGCTAGGTTTATAATTGTTGGCAATTTAGTGTAGTGTTACTGCCATCCCGGAGAAAAGGTGCGCGCGCGAATCCTTGATATCATTCTTGGAGGACGCTTGAGGCGCGTCATGGCGGTCCGGTCGGTGGGTCGGCTACGGTCCGGTCCGGTTCGATTCGGTCCGGTTCGATTCGGTCCGGTTCGATTCGGTCCGGTCGGATATATCATTCCTGTTATTGCTGTGGTAAGTATGGTTGTGTAAGTAACTACCTGGTTTTGAGTGCTCATAAGTATTCATTCCATTTATAGAAATTTGCGAGCCAGTCCCTGCCTTGGCCGATCGCCTGGTCGTGTGCCGAATATGTCTGAGCGTGGCAAGAACTTGTGCTCTACGCTTCTCTTGAAGCCCTTAGAACCGGCGAAGGCGACGGAAGGCGACATCACACCCCGCAAGATCTAGATTCGACAGTGACTGGTACGTCAGCGTCACATTCGCGGGCTGCCGACCCATGAACACGGGCAGCATCGCCGCGGTACCAGCGGTGCCGACGTCCACCCCACGTCAGGATCAGATGTCGCGCCCCTGGACGCCAACCACGGAAGCCGGCTCAACGGCGGGTGAACCCTACGGCACTTGTCCCACGAACGCCAGTTAGAACGACGGTCCGCCGAAGCTGGGCGTGGGCATGGCGGAACCATCCAGGCCAGTGGTGACGCCGTGGCCGTCGTTATCTGCGGTGCATAAGCGACGGTCGCATTGACACGAGTTCGGGTGAGGGGTCAATTTGACCCCCATCGAAGTTTTTCCCGAATGGTTTCCGAACGCCGCCAAGTAACCGCGCCAAATTTGCCTTTCGGTAACCAATTGAACAGCGGATCCTGTGATACGAAGACTTAGATGTACCTTGTAAGGTTGTTGACCTACGGCAGGTCAAAATCAGGCTGTGCGTTCAGCGAAGACAACTCATAGGAAACTGTTTGATCTGATGCAGCAACGGAGTCAGACGAAGTCATACACCTCTAAGATGATTTTTTAGGCAACACAAAAATTGAATGAAACGTTTCCATTGCCCTAGGGTCAGGTATCAAGGTTAGACTAAGGTCGAAATCAACATTTCTTACAATTCTGTATGGGGTTGATCCTGTTGCTCATCTTGAATTTGTTGATAACAGGAACCGTATTATACATATTCCAAAAAATTCCTTAAAGCTCAGCATGGGTTGCTGACCTAAAATCACCTAGGTCGAAATTTTGTTGTTAGGAACATACTACCTAGCGCAATCTTTGACGCTTATTGAAGTGCAAAACTCAAAGCAGTATTGTATGGCCTCGGTCACCATGCCCTGCATAAGGTTAAACAAGGCCACTGACCTTGAATGAGCGCCTGTGATCTTTTGTTCCTAGCAGGCATCTAGGTTCTGGGGACACTTAAGGCACCAATCTTGAGTTTTACATTGTTTGACCTTATTTGACCCAAAGTTCATGAACTAAGAACCACAAATATTGACGCAAATGGGTTAACATACCGACCAATGCACCCTGCAAACTTGATCCCCCTATCTTTCTTAGTTTCTGAGATCTCAGGACGGGGTCAAATTGACCCTCACCCCACCCCACCCTAGCAAAGGGTGTCCAATCGGCCATCCAGGCGCGTGTTAACCATCGCGATATCCGCTGCCATCGACGGTCGCACTAAACAACGCGATGCACTGTTGCGTTTAATGCGATCGTCGATGACCTTTTTCCACGAAGGTCGTCCTGATCACGCGGTGGGACCCCCCTGGCCTGAGGCAGCTCGTGCTATTACACCCATACTTGCTAATGATCAATTCTTAAGAATCTTTCTCTTGCGTGCCAAGACGTGCAGATAGCGGCATGACTTCGTTTCGTTTATTGACAGTCGCCATCAGAATGTTGCACAAATCGACAGTCCACATCCCTTTTTGCACATTGGCGGTCCCGCCAACGCCACGAATGACGGCCAGCCGGCGCCTTGTCGCGCATCAGAAACACTAGTTCTAAAACGGTTCAAAGATGGCGGTACTATTTGGACTTGCCGCCCACTAGCGCCACCAACCCGTCCTCATAGTCGCCGGTGCTCTTTTTCTCGATATCGTCGATCAGCGTGCGGCCATATTTGAGCTGATACTCCTGCGCGATGGTCCCCAGGTCTCTTTCAGCGCGCGAGATGAGGATGCGTCGCAGCGACGTGTCGTCCTTGCTGAGCGGGCCGTGGCCCCAGAGCGCGTGGTGAAGCCGGCCGGCGAAATAGCGCGGCAGGTTTCTGGTCACCTCGACTGCGGGGTTAGAGATCAGGTCAGGTCAGACTGCCGTCGAGCACGAGGCGATGCATGGACTGGTCGGACCAGACGCCTCTTGTGGAATATGTAAGGGGAGAGGGACATGCACGGTTGAAAGTTGATATGTCGTCCGTTCCGAAAGAGACAACCAGAGACTTTCTCAAGCGCCGAGAACACACGGCTGGATTGGCGACCACTCATACGTACAGGAATGGCAGCTCATGTCTTGGGGATGCTCTTAAGAAGGCCGTGGCAAGGTCATAATGAAGTAATGACAAGGCGCACCAGAGCAGGCATATACGCATACCTTTATTTCTTTAGTTAAATTCGGAACGTTCTCACCGACGACCAGTAGTTTGGGGGTCAAAGCGCCTTCACCGATAACACTGAAATGGGGGTTCCACAGCGTTCCCATCGATAACTAGCAAACTCGAGGCCCCGCGGCGTTCTCACCAATGGCCAGCGCGGCGTCTTCCATGTCCCGGCTGAACTCATCTTCGAGCGCCTCCTCGAAGGACTCGCCGGCGAACAGCTCGTACTCGGAGAAGATGAGCGCCAGCTGGGCGTAGTTCTCGTGGGTCAGGTAGTACTTGAATGTGGCCTCCTCGGTGCCCAGCCGGCTGCCGCCTGAGCCGGAGACCACGCCGCCAGGTGAGTGACGTCCGGAGGTCAAGGCCACTACGGATTTGGTTCGCCTCGCAGGACATGGGCTTGGACTGGGGCCGACTGACGAATTAACCTAAGTGGATCCATATAGATAAGACAGTCGTATCAGCCTTATTCCTCGGAGAAAACCGGGAGAATAAAGATATGGTTGGATTGATATTTCGGTAACGTGCCCTGATACAAAGCAATAGCAGAAGTAAATTCTTTCCTGAGTTCCAAATTGAACTAAAAAAGAAATTCGCTTCTGCTATTGTTTCGATAAAAGCATGTTGCTGAAATATCAACCCATATATATCTCCATTCTCTTGGTTTTCTCCGAAGAACAAAGCTAATGCGACTGTCTTGTCTATGTGAATAACGTTCCTCGTAAATGCACTGAACAACTTACGTAAATAGATCTACATTGAGGCAGAGTTGAGCGATTATGAAAGTGGCGAATAAATTGATTTATATGGAGCATAAATGGATGTATATGGAAGCAAAGTTAAATGTCGATGGTAGAGGAAAATAACGCTCTCATGGGTGTGGTCTTAAATTATGCTACACATTGCTACGTATGGTGGGGGTAAATATTTCTATGCCGGATGAATCAATCGAATGAAGAGTTTGTGAAAAGGCGGACTGATGGATGCATCACGCTTAAAATCTATGGATTCGATGTACGTGGATCTGGCATGGTTCAACCACGAAGAGCGTCTCCACAGTGGATGTGTGATGCGACAGCTAACACTTGAAGACTACCGATAGCGCCAGCCTGGCCTGCCATTGAGATTATGGCCACAATGACATGAAACAATGGGCCGGGCTGCAGAGAGTCGGTTGAGGTACTTTCGATCGCGAAGCTCACCATCAGCTGGTGACGACAAAGGCAAGTGCTCTGTTCTGGTTATTTCATCAACCCAGCGCTGGTCACGCATTAGACAAGGAGCTTTGGCCAAAGCCTCAGCTTCATCTTGTCCATACAACACGCATTGCTCACAGCTGCCTGTGGTCGCCCGCTGTCGATGACGGCCCCGCCCTCTTCCTCCCCCTCCCCCTCCCCCGCCCGCCTTGCCGCTCACCGGCTTGGTAGAGCGCCCGGGCCTGCTCATTGGCCTCCTTGCGGTTCGTGCGGAAGGTACGGTCCCGCTTGCTGTTCACCAGCGCCAAGATGATGTCCTCCAGGTCTCCGGTCAGGTCGTCCTCCACGTCCGCCTCCAGCGTTTTCCCCTCGACTGCGGGCAGGGTGTCAGAACTCAGAGCGAAGCGGTGCGTGGCTGGGTTAGACTGGGACGGGTCCATGCATGGCTCGGCTGCAGCCAGGCCAGGTCAGGTCCCGGCACCGTGGAGCTGTTGTCGGACCCGTTCAGGTCCCGGGCTGCTCAGCCACCACCAGGTCAGATCTCAGATCTCGGCACCGTATGGCTGCTGTCGGACCCGTTCAGGTCCCGGGCTGCTCAGCCACCACCATGAGAGCAGATCTCAGATCTCGGCACCGTATGGCTGCTGTCGGACCCGTTCAGGTCCCGGGCTGCTCAGCCACCACCATGAGAGCAGATCTCAGATCTCGGCACCGTATGGCTGCTGTCGGACCCGTTCAGGTCCTGGGATGCTCAGCCACCATGAGAGCAGATGAGTCGAACTTTCGACACTGCTCGGCTGCGGTCGATTCATGTCAGACCAGTCCTCGGGGTTGCTGGGACTCGGTCAGGTTAGGTCAGGTCGGTGCAGGGAGGCAATAGTTCCCGGCTGATTCCAAAGGCTGCCGCGATGCGTCATGTAGTGCTCACGCAATGCGCCCCGAACTTAGGCAAAAGGGCAAAGCTCACGATTTGTGTTATGAGGAGGCGTAATGGCCAAGTGTTCAGCTCGTCGGCTCCCACATGGGGGTTCTGGGTTCGTACCCGGGGGTGCCACGACCCCTGAGCGTTAATATGGCCAATACTGTCACTGGCGCTCCACAAAAGGGGCGCGACGACGTGTTCACGTTTCCTTTTTAAAAAATAGATTATGTTATGACTTGCGTATCGCGCTATGATGAACACCCGCCGGCGCTGTGGCATCTAGACCTTTGGCAAATATATTTGCCTTCGTATCTGTGTCTGAGAATGCGTACCATGAATATTAAGATCAGCAAAAATAACAATGCTAGCAAGGAAGAAATGCAGACTGGTTCATGCAAGTCATTAACAATTGACGCATACCTATCCAAAAACACATGATAGCTGAGTAGCGAGAAGATCGAGCGTTAGCAAGAGGACCAGGCTTGATTCCCGGTTCAAGCATTGCCCGCTGAGCTTCAACACGACTACCGCAGTCACCCCAGCTCACAAAAGGTCAGGGGGACAGCACAAGATGTGCCACAGTTTTGAACGCCCCAAAACACCATTTTCAGAAGTCCCGTTACACCTACTGGCGTGGAAGAAGGGTCGGATGGCGTCGATTTCGTCGCCGGTGCTGCTAATGAGCGTCTCCAGGAGGACGTCCTCGTCGGTGCCGATGCGGTCCATGCCCTCGTGCAGCTTCTTGGCCAGGTACTCGTAGTATGAGGACGCCTCCAGCAGCTCCTGCATTAAGTTCTCGAACTTGCCGCGCGTCGTTCTCGTGACAGCATCGTATAGATCCTGTGGGACGTCACTCGTATTGAGTGAGGTGTAGCAGTTCCTCACGCAGGGATATTGCCTGTTTAAAAGGCCACGAGCTTCTAAAAAAATTGTACCTAGCCCTTCCCATACCTCAACATAAGCCAGCATCTACTAAAGAGAGTGTTCTATGTTCATATGCGGATTTGAACTGAAATAGCCATATTGAAGACCTTTCGGTGCTGTCCGCGATCCTGTCCTTTTAAGACCTAAGCCTCTCTAGTTTATGAGCTGCACGCTCGCGAAAATGGGGAAGCGTTTCCCGGGAAGACTATTTCTAAGTCACCTTGGCATTCACCGCGTCATAATGACGTTGTTTAAATTCTACCATTCTGTGAGCCATGCGGTGATCAAGGATAAAACGATATAATTGTCGAGGCGCTTGTATCACACGTTCGTGACTACGATTTACACATATAACGGCCGACAATTGGCTCTCAATCAATGCTGGGCGAGGCACGATGACGTGAATCAAATGCGAAGCATGTCCTTTAAAAGCTCGAGTTTCCAAAAGAGCATAAAGTGACACTGCGCTGGTTTGCAAGCGTTCAGAAAATGCGCTTCAAAGGAGTGCTCATCTAACAGACCTATAGAAGTACGTGGACAATTTTGAAGCATGACCCCAGGTCATCCGGGCTACCCCAGCCCTCTCTTATAACGATCGTCACAATGCCTCCTGCAAAGCAAGGGTTGACAGGATTCGAACCCGCATTCGTGTTGACGCCCCCAATGCGTTAGCAACGGCGCGGGAGGCGTCGGCGTTGGCTCTGGCCTGACCTGCTCTGCAGCAGCTCACTGATAAGCCCGACACGCGCCTGCCATAAACACGGGCTGCTGCTGTGACCGGGCCGGGTTCTCGCCAGTCCAAGGTCCCGCCGTAATGAGGCCATGGCTGGGGCTCAGTCCAAGGTCCCGCCGTAATGAAGCCATGACTGGGGCTCAGCCCAAGGTCCCGCTGTAATGAGGCCATGGCTGGGGCGCAGGCCAAGGCCCCGCCGTAATGAGGCCATGGCTGGGGCGCAGGCCAAGGTTTCGATAGTGTTTCAACGTCCTGGTCAAACGCTTCATAAGCGAGAAAAGTCAAGCTGGACACGGATCGGGAGGTGATGTTGGTGTGTGTCCTGTTCGCGTACGCCGTAGAAAATGGCGTCTGAACGAAGCGTTATATATAAGAAACGTGATCAATGTCTGGCCAAAGAGGAAAGGGGCACCGAGGCGACTCGATGCGTCGCAATTGCTAAGTCATGTCCTTCATCGCTCGTACAGTGCACAGCCATCGTGACATCCTTCGAGGCTGCGTGCGTCATGGTGGCCATGATGACAATGACAATCGTTTGCGACTGGTCTGAGGTCAAGGAGATGTCTCCCTGAGCGTGAGAGGCACATTGAACGGTCCCATCACCGCGCACCACAAGGCTGACTATAGCGAAACCCCAACAGGAAACACCTTTCACCGAGCACGAATATGACCTTGCACCAGCATCACGTGAACCAGTCCAAGAAGGCGGCGTCCGCCACGGAGCGCTGTGCTGCTCACCTTGCCGTAGAGCCTGGCGTACGCATTCTTGATGAGCGCACGCTCGGCGAACGTTCTCCTGGCCAGCACCTCGATCAGCACTTCATCATCAGCGTTGAAGTAGCCGATGGCCGAACTGCGAGCGCGGGTCACGTGATGAGCTGAGACTGAATGGCAGGACACAGCGCAGGGCAGCGTAAAGCAGCCACAGGCGGGCACGTGAAGGACCAGGAGAGACGCAGACAATCGTACCGTCATGCGCTGGCACAGGACAGACAACGGGCGGCCAGCGTATGGCGCAGGACAGACAACGGGCGGCCAGCGTATGGCGCAGGACAGACAACGGGCGGCCAGCGTATGGCACAGGACAGGCAACAGGCAGCCAGCGTATGGCACAGGACAGGTAACAGGCAGCCAGCGTATGGCACAGGACAGGCAACAGGCAGCCAGCGTATGGCACAGGACAGGCAACAGGCAGCCAGCGTATGGCACAGGACAGACAACAAGCAGCCAGCGCATGGATGACAGCCGGGAGTCTCGTTACTGATCCGTCGTCTTATGTTCCAATGCCCGTGCTCCGTATGCATTGGCTCAAGAGTGAGCAAAGTAAGTATGATTTGTGTTTCCGGTGGTACAGTCAAGGTCAAGGTAGTTCTCCAACTTTTTTTAGCACCTGATTTCATTGATATTTTATACTTTTGAATGATGGCATGGCGTGAGTGCTACGAATTATGTGTGATACATTATGTATCGTTGGTGTGTCCAATGCCGCGGTTTTTGGTCCACGAGTTTAAAACACTCATAGTTGAGCGTCGAACATCACGTAAGAGAATCCTGCTCACATTTTCCGGAGTCTATTGCCAGCCGCGATAACCACATGGGGCTGTCATCCCTTTTTGGACGCACAGTTCACCGCCGCTTAGAACACAAAGAAACTCCCATGCAAGAACTGGCCAGCCGTCCATACAGCCAGGGCTGTCTGTCAAGTCCAGTTCCCGCTCGCAGCCTTTCGGCTGAGTTCAGCCTGGCTGCCGGCGAAGCTTTCCACTGCGGCGATAGGTGGCGCGCTCCGTCGCGACGCCGTGACCTGAGGTCTTCGGCGCGGTGACACCGATACCCGGGGTGTTCGGTACAGCGACACCGTGACCTGAGGTCTTCGGCGCGGTGACACCGATGCCCGGGGTGTTCGATACAGCGACACCGTGACCTAAGGTCTTCGGCGCGGTGACACCGTGACCTGAGGTCTTCGGCGCGGTGACACCGATGCCCGGGGTGTTCGATACAGCGACACCGTGACCTAAGGCGTTCGGCGCGGCGACGCCGTGACCTGAGGTCTTCGGCGCGGTGACGCCGATGCCCGGGGTGTTCGATACAGCGACACCGTGACCTAAGGTGTTCGGCGCGGCGACGCCGTGACCTGAGGTCTTCGGCGCGGTGACACCGATACCCGGGGTGTTCGATACAGCGACACCGTGACCTAAGGTGTTCGGCGCGGCGACGCCGTGACCTGAGGTCTTCGGCGCGGTGACACCGATGCCCGGGGTGTTCGATACAGCGACACCGTGACCTGAGGTCTTCGGCGCGCGGCTGGGAGAGGATCAAGATGGAGCGGCGACACCTCGGCAGGATTCGACATTCTGCCGCCGTCCGTGCCGTCAGGGTTCCCGTCTCTGCTCGCTAAACGCCACACGCTCGACGTGGCGGAGTCCGTCTACAAGCCACTTTTCAGGAGTGCCGCGCGAACCCGAGAGATGTGCCCTGGAGTGTCCCATCTCGGCCGGGCAGTCCGGACACTCAGCCGTCGCGCCTCTCTATTTACACGGCAGCGGATAAACACGGCGGCGGCGCCGGTCCGGATGAACGACACTGTCCAGCCGCCGCCCTGCCCTCCGCCGCCGCGCTGGTATACACAGACTGCGGAGCCAGGGCGCAGACGAGTCCGATTCCCGGTCCAGCCCGGCTCGTGGGGCGCTGGGTTTGCTCCATTCGGTCAAAGCCAGCCCCGCTAATTAAGAGCCTGAGCGGTACAATTCGGTTCTGTTCGGCTCAGCTCAGTTCATCTGGGCTCATTTCGCTTTCGTGCAGTTTGGTGCAGCTCATTGCATTGTGATAAGTTCATTCCAGTCTGATACAGTCAAGTGCAAAGACGTTTCCAATCAACCAATGACTTACAACCCGCTCAAGTGAAATTTAGTAAATCCGCTGAGTTCCATAAGATTGATCCAGACTCGTCTCGCTAGCATTACGGAGAGCAAGACAGAGCAGGGTTTTGACCTGAGTTCTCATGACGCACCTGGCTCATACTGTCATAGGTAGTGTTCTTCGCATGCCTTTGTAAAAACATTTTCAACAAAATATCCGAAACCTTTTGTATATCATATACGAAAAAGGACCATGCCATCAGGTAGTCAGAAAACAGACCTGCAATTGAGACCCTGCCAGGGTGGTGGTGCTTACTTGAGCTTACGGGCTTCAGCATCGGCATCAAAGTAAGCGGAGGGTGTGATGGTCGGTAGAGTGCTGAACTGAAACAGATGGGGCGTGCTCATTTAGTGCACCGAGCTAGCTATCACAGGGTCAGTGACGCTCGAATGCCAGTAATACCGATATGGTCGAATACAATACATACAATACTTACGCCCACGGACAGCCGGGGCTCGGGAGTCTCCACGGGGCAGGGCAGGCAGCCATTGCAATTCAGGGCTGCTATGACGCATTTAGCTTTAACGCTCATTAGTCACACCCTGTTGCCCTAACTGCAGCCCTCGGAGAAGTCGAAACGCTGCTGGTGGCATGCCCCGAACTTGCAGCCCCGCACTTCTAAGGCAGGCATGCTATCTCTCTCAGGCAGGCTGAATACTAACTTAACGCCATTTAACACGCTCACTAGGTTGAAGCCAGGAAGTCGATACGGAGGGACCCAGCTAAAAAAAATCAGTCTCGTTTTCACCAATGGCTCCAATCAGCACGCCGCTGTACCCTCGTTTTCACCAATTGCTCCAAGCAGCCCGCCGCTGTATCCTCGTTTTCACCAATTGCTCCAATCTAAGTCCTGTCGCCAGCCACACGGACCAATCCGACACCGCCTCTCTGCAGCCGTGGACCATTTAGTGCTCACCCGATGCGTGCTGCCGCACGCGATGCTCAGCGGGTACGACTTGCAGAACTGGTACACGTCGAAGTCGGGCTGGCGGACGTCGGGTATGACCGGCGAGCCGGGGTAGCCGCCCGGTGCCGGTAGAGGGCGCGAGCAGCACACCTGGCGACCACCAACGGCGCCGGTCATGGGCGGACCCAGCCACAGAATCGGCGACGGAGACGAGTCATACACCGCGTTGAAAACGGCGCCCAGGACTGGATACTGACAGAATACCTATGCTTATAATGTTAAAACATATCTGCATCACTGGTCAATGTGGTTGGCAGCTTTTGTCCTTTATTGGTTACTTTTATCCCTACTTATCGTTTTAACAACGTCATGACCCGTCTCCAGGTGGTGTCAGTGCGCGGGATGATAGTGACCCGTCCCCTGGTGGTGTCAGTGCGCGGAATGATAGTGACCCGTCCCCTGGTGGTGTCAGTGCGCGGGATGATGGTGACCCGTCCCCTGGTGGTGTCAGTGCGCGGGATGATAGTGACCCGTCTCCTGGTGGTGTCAGTGCGCGGGATGATAGTGACCCGTCCCCTGGTGGTGTCAATGCGCGGGATGATAGTGACCCGTCCCCTGGTGGTGTCAGTGCGCGGGATGATAGTGACCCGTCCCCTGGTGGTGTCAGTGCGCGGGATGATAGTGACCCGTCCCCTGGTGGTGTCAGTGCGCGGGATGATAGTGACCCGTCCCCTGGTGGTGTCAATGCGCGGGATGATAGTGACCCGTCCCCTGGTGGTGTCAGTGCGCGGGATGATAGTGACCCGTCCCCTGGTGGTGTCAATGGGCGGGATGATAGTGACCCGTCCCCTGGTGGTGTCAATGCGCGGGATGATAGTGACCCTTCTCCTGGTAGTGTCCCCTGGTGTGTGCACGGGATGATGGTTAGGGAGATGAGGTGGAGAGGAGGAGAGGAGAGGCTGGCGGATATTGAGCTGGAAAACAAAATTGCATAGCCTACCTCCCATGACGAGGACTAATGTTGCACTCCCGATAGCAGCAGTCTATCGCTATCTGACACACGTGCTGAGCAGTCACGCTCTGGACCAAACGGAGCTGAGATGGGTGCGGGACGTGTAAATGGAGCTGCCATGGGTGCGGGACGTGTAAACGGAGCTGCGATGACTTTGGGACGTATACACCAGCTTGGGAATATAAGGGTCCGCGATCCGCGGGACCACATCGGCTCAACAACAACAAATGACTTGTTGTTGTTGACTTGTTGAGACCCCAAAGTCTTTCGAATTCGCCTGGTTCGTTGTTTATCGAAGCATTTGAGCTTACGGCCTAGTAACTGTCACAGATACTCCTAACTGAAGCAGCATCATTTTTCCTAGTCTTCCATAGCGTCAACGCCTGGTACGCAGCTCGTAACCAGGAGCGGACTGCCGGACAATCAGCGATGCGTGACCGCACCGATGTGAACGCCCCATGAAGGTCGCACTTTTATCCTGTTCCCAAGCCAAAGCATTGCTGCTTGGGGCACACATCCTCACACTCGGGTCTGGAATGGCCCAACAGCAACCGTGCCTGGTCATGCACGTCCTGAGTCTTCCAGCCGCGGCGCCTTCCATAGTCAGGTCTGTACACTCTGGCGCGAGGGACACACCGGCCAGGCGCGATTTGTAATGATCAGTTCAACCCATTCCCAGTGAAGTATGCGCCTACTTGGATATTCACCCCGTCACATCTGGCCCTTTCACATCCTCTGGGCATTCTCGACAAATCATATCAAGCCCAGACAAGCAAAGCTCTAAGCCGAATCAATCTGGCGTTTCATGGCAGTGTTCCACATTTATGTGGGGTTATGAACTGAGATAGCCATCTTGAAGACCTTGCGGTGCTGTTCACAATCCTGCCCCTCTTAAGGTCTAAACCCCTTTATGAGCTACGCGCTCGCAAGAATGGCGAAACGCTCTTCGGGGAGAGTATTTCAAAATCACCTTGGCATTCATGACTTCATAATAAAGCCATTCAAACACTATCATTCCATAAGCCATGCGGTGATGAAGGCCACCAATAAAATGTAATTGTCGAGGCGCTCATATCTGGCGTTCGTGAGCGCGATTTCCAAATGCAGCGGCTGTCAATTAGCTCTCAGTCAGTATTGTGCATTGTGCGATGACGTAATCAAACTATGCGCACGGAGGAGCATATTTACTAAACAGAAAATTGTGCTGTCTAGAGCAGTCTTTTCCGATTAAAAAAACAAACATACAAAAAGTTATAAAGTGGCTTGTTTCATCACACATCATGCTCGATTCAATATCTTCAAACGTGAGACTTTCCCTTTAAAGTCAAACTGCTATTCAAGACGAATCGCCCTCCCCTCCACCTGTCCTGTGCTGGACCGTACCTGGGTGCCAGGGCAGGTGGGCGCGGTGGCGACGATGTAGCGCGACAGCACGTCCTGTTGACGACAGCGGTCACCCGAGACGCACTGGCAGGGCGGCGGCGGTGGCGTCGGCAGGATCTGGGTCCTCGGTATGGCGCAGCACACCTGACAACGTGGTGGTGAGCATGACGGTGGTGGTCATGGCGTTCATGGTGGTGGTGATGACGGTGGTGGTGGTAATGGCTTTGAAGCTGGATGTTTGGTTTAGAATGTCCTGGTGGGATAGGACATTTACTTGAGACGTATTAAGCATTTCATCGTGCGCATCTAGCAGCTATCAATGGTCAGTCTATTTCAAAACGTGGTGCGCCACATCGCGAGCATCATGGACAGGGGCAGAAGGTATTCCATGTCCATTCCTTCCATGCAGTGCCATCGTCGTCACATTCCTTCGCTAGATTGCTGAAGGACGTGCTCTCCATCTCCCCGGGGGTTAGCCGTCGCGACGTGCTCTCCATCTCCCCGTGGGGTAGCCTCCTTGACGTGTTTTCCATCTCCCCGTGGGGTAGCCTCAGGAGCGTGCTCGCCATCTCCCCGTGGGGAAGCAGCCGGATGTTGTACCACCCGTCACCTTTCGGGTACCCTCCTGACACCTCCTTGACGCCCCTGCTGACATCCACCTGCACCCACGGGCAGGTAACGGCTACCGGCGACACCCACCTGGCCGTCGTAGTTGCAGCGGCCGGTGCGTGACACCTGGCGCATGTCCACCGGGGTCTGCGGCGGCGGGTAGATCTCACCCCCTTTGCAGAGGTAGGCCGACACGCAGACGCACGGCTGGGAGGCCACGTGCGAGCGGTCGAAGAGGTCGATGCCGCTGGTCGAGACGGCGGTCATGACGCCCGACTGGAGCGTTGGACTCGCCTGTAGCCGGCGCCGGCTTGACTCCGGCAGCTCACAGCACACGCGGAAGCCAGAGCACTGCTTGCGCGGACCCAGCCTGCCGGAACGGACGGTGAGGAGGTGCAAGGAGGCACGACGCTCTGAGCTGTGCTTCTAACGATCTGTTTTGTGTCTGATCTCTGTCATGACGTCTTACGTCAGAATGGAGCATACCAAACAAAGTGCAAGGAGCAAGTCTTACAACTAGTCCAGAATAATTTAGTATCTGAAGAAATGGAGGAAAGAAGGGTGGAAAGCGTAAGTACAAGCAGTGAGGAATGATATATGGGTTGGTTTAAACAGGCTCTAATGGGGTAGTACTGGTGAAATAATGAAATGGGCGGAGAGGAGAGAAGAAATATAGGTAAAGCAAACAACAGATGGGTAGTCTCCAGGGTAGTAGCAAGCATTTCCTTCAGGAATTTAGCTCATCCGACAAGTGAACGCACCTCGCTAGATTTTAACCTTTTGTTAGAACTTATTTGTTGGAGAAAAATGAAAAAGCGGGTCACAGGGGACAGATCCTCTACTTCTTGTCTTGGCCACGTCTCTGGCAGCGTTCCATCTTTCTTTGGAGAGCAAAAGGCGGGGAGCTGAGGAAAGGTCACGAGGAAGAGAAAATGGGTACAACGAGGCACTGCATTACGCAGCTGTTCCCGTTGGGTGCGTTAAAAGTATTCTGATGTCCCGGCCCGAGAAAAATCGCTTTCCCAGCGTAGCATTAGCAAAGACCGGCCCACTGGCAATGGCTGTCGACGAACACAAAAACAAGCCCGATGTCCGTTTCCGGCGACGCTGAGCTCCACTTACTTGATATCGAGCAGGTCGGCGCCGTGAGTGACGATGTTGCCGTCCTCACACTGGAAGAACGGCACGCAGACGCAGTTGTCGAGCCGTGCGACGTTGTACGGGTCAGCTTGCGCCGGCTCGCTTCTGGAGAAGAGGCCGCGCCGGCGCCGGCTGCCGGAGTGCGAGGAGTAGCTGCTCCAGTAGCTGCTGCTGGACGTTGGCACCTGCTCGATGCGGCGGCTGGACGAGCTGCTGTAGTGTGACCTGCTCGAGGCGGGGCCCGACTGGTAGCTGTGTGAGTAGGAGTCGGGCTGCACCGTCGACGAGCCCGTGCTGCTCTTGGAGCGCGATGACCATGATGACGAGTAGCGCGAGCCGCTGGTGTGGCCGCTGGCGCCGAGATCGCCAGAGCCTTGGCTGGCGTCGTGGCCGGACAGGCGACCGTCCTGGAAGGAGGACACGCCGGCGCCGCCGCCGTGCGCGCCGCCGCCGTGCGCGCCGCCGCCCGACACGGTGCGCTCGTGCGAGAAGCGCCGCGAGCTGCTGACCGTCTGGCCGCCGGACAGGTCGAGCGGATGCGGCCCAAGCCCGCCGGAACTGGTGGCGCGCTGCTCAGTCCGGCTCGACTCGAAGCGCGAGCGACCGGCGTCGCCGGCCGCGCCGAGACGCGCTCCGTCCGCCGACGCGCCATCCGACGACGACGAGCTCTGGTAGGAGTAACGGCGCGAGCTGCTCACCACCTGCGGACCTGGCAGGTCGATCACCGGGTCCGGGTCGGAAACGAGGTCGTTCACGCCCCTTGTCTCGAAGCGGGAGTGTCCCCGGCCAGATGTGACACTGCCGCCGAGGTCAGGCCCGACATGATCGCCGGACACGGTACGCTGATGCGAGTAGCGCCGGCTGCTGCTGACCACGTGAGCGCCGGAATCATCCGCCGGCTGCTGGCCGAGCCCGTCCGGGCTGACGGCTTGCTGCTGCGTGCGGCGCGAGTCGAAACGCGAGTGCGCGCCGCTGCTCGCCGCCCCGGCGTCGCCGAACTGTGGCGCCGGCTCACTGCCGGATGTGGTCCGTTGGTAGGAATACCTGCGCTCGCTGCTGACCGTCTCTCCCGCGGAGCTGTCCAGCGGCCGCTGGCTGAAGTCGCCAGCGTTGAAGTCGTCCCTGCGGCCGCCGGCCGCCGTCCCGTCCGTGGGCCCGGGGCGCGAGCTGCTCTCGAAGCCTCTGAACTGACGCGAGCTGCTCACCGTGTGCGCCGCGCCCTCGTCCAGCGGCTGCAGATGGGAGTCACCGCCGAAGTCGCGTCGCCGCTCGGTTTCAGTGCGCGTGCGGCTGAGGCGGTACTCGGTGCGCCCGCGGCCGGCCGTCTCGTGCGCGTCGTCGAAGCGTGACAGCGAGCCCTGAAGACGCTGAATGTCAGCGTCGGTAACGGGCCGCTGCAGCCTATCGGCGTCCGTCGTTTCCACATGCTGAACGATATCGCGGAACATGTCCCGCTCCTGGGCAACAACGGACGGATCCCGCGGCGGGATGTCGGCGTTGAAGTCGGTCCGATGCGGCCGTTGCGGCGGCCGCTCGGGTCGCTCGGGCCGCGCGGGCCGGCCACGTGACCGGCAGCAGACGGCTGGTCGCGGGCAGCGCCGCAGCGCCTCGGCCGAGAAATCGCGGTCACGCAGGCCGCACGCCTCGCGCGACACGCAGGCGCAGCTGGCGGCACCCACCACCGGCTCCGGCGCGAACGTCGGCCGGAAGGTCGGCACCGGCTCCGGCACGGGCGCCCGGCGGCAGCACACCTGGTCCGCCGCGCACTGGCGACGCGCCGCCGCGCTGTACTCGCGGTCGGCGACGGAGCATTGAGAGCGATCGGTGCAGTAGCAGGCCACCACCTCCTCGCGACGCGCCTGCTCCTCACGCTCCTCCTGCCGGATGAAGGTGCGACGGGAGCCGGACGGCGCCGCGGGCTCCGGAGCCGGCAGGATTCCGTCTGGCCGGCAGCACACGTCCGAGCCGGGGCAGGTGGTCAGCGACCAGCCGACCAGACCGGAGGGCGCGCAGCGCTCCAGCGCCACGCACACGCAGGAGTCGGCGCTCGAGACGCGACGCTCCGAGCTCGAGGAGGTGGAGTGCGTGCGGGAGCCAGAGCTGGTGCGGGATCCGGAGCCGGAGTGGGAGCCAGAACCGGGGTGGGAGCCGGAGTCGGAGCGGGAGCGGGAGCGCGAGTCGAACCTGGTGCGGGACCCGGAGCTGGAGTGGGAGCCGGAGCCGGAGCGGGAGCCGGAGCTGGAATGGGAGCCGCCGCGCCGTTCGAATACGCCACTGAATCCCTCGCCGCCGGTCATGCTCTGGCGACGCCGGTTGTACTCGGCCTCGGAGATGGTCGCCCGGTCGAGTACGGCGCCGTCGCCGTCGCGCGTCAGCTCCAGGTGGTACTCCTGCACACCGTCGCTGTTGCGCCGGCCGGAAATGCGCGTCGTGTGCGAGCCGTTGCTGAAGGAGTAGTAGGACTCCTCGCTGGAGTAGGAGGTCACCGCGCCTCCGCCGCCGCCGCGCCGCCGGCCCAGGCGCCTGTCGAACTCGCTGAGCAGGTCGTGCCGCGAGCCGGCCGCGAGCGACGAGTCGAAGCGCGCGTCGAGACCGCCGAACGCACCGGCCGAGCCGGTGAGCCCTAGGCTGGCGCGGCGCGCGTCGTACTCGGCCTGCGAAAGCACAGAACGTTCGAGCACGGCGCGGTCGCGCAGGCGCGTCACCACCAGGTGGTACTCAGGCACGCCTTCGCTCGAGCGCTTGCTGGTGATGGTGGTGCTGTGCGTGCCGTTGGTGAACGTGTACTCGGACTCCTCGCTGGAGTAGGAATAGGTGCGGCGGTGGCCGAGCCGGCCGGGCGACAGACCGCCGGCGCCGTCCGTGGATCTCGAGTGGCTGCTCGTCTGGTACGAGCTGCGGTAGCTGCCGCCGCCGCCGTCGCCGTGCGAGCAGACGTCACAGCCACTGTCGCCGCCCGGGAAGTCGGTACTGGGCCCGATCATGACGGTGCGGAAGCGGTCGCTGGCGGCCGGGACTGCGACGCCCGCGGCCAGCAGGCAGACCGCCAGCACGTGCATGCTGGCACGGAACAACGCCGCGCGGGGTCAGTCGAGCGCGGAGTCCGGAGTGGCGGGCTCTCGCAGTGAGGTGAGGGAGGCACGGACGGCGCGAGGAGCCCGACTGGATCCGCTGGCTCCGGCCGGCGGGCTTTATAGGCGGCGAGGTATAAACAGCAGGCCGGGCGTGACGCTGCGCCAGTCACGGACGGCCGTGAAGGACGAGAAAGCATGGACGCCGACGACGTCGAAGGGCTACCGGGAAGAGGCACTGGGGTTCGTCAGATGTGAAAAAGTGGCGGCGAGCAACAGGGAGGGGTGGGATAGAGCATTGCTTCGTGTGTGAGGACTGGCATAACTGAGCCCAAGAACCTGCGCCTGAGTTCTGGCGCTGTGACCGTGAGTCTGATCATCGAGTCCACGTTGTCAGTCTTATATGACGTAAGACCGAGCCACAGACTAGTTTGACGCCTCAACTTTCGGATCGTGTGGCTGAGTCGTTGGAGATTTAGTCCCAGTTTGTATCTGCGTCCCAAAGTCCTCAATCGGAGTCCGACGGTATCTTCGGGGACCGCACGCTCTGGCGCCGTCTCAGGGAGGCAGCGAAACTGCAAGCCCCCCTCCTCCCCTCAGCAGCCCCAAAGAGATTCAGCCCCAAAAGAGCTGAATGAGGTGCAGACTCGGATTTTTGTAGGGGGGAGCTGTTCGATGCCGGTCGATCACAGCGATCTGTTGGTGGACGTGAAACAACGATGGGCGATTCAACAAACTGTGAAGGCAAGGGACGGACGAGTGATGAATGAAGGATAACGGACACTACCAGCCCTGGAAGCATAATCATAAACCAGCGATTGGATGGTGCTAGACGCCAGCGAGGAACTGTAGGATGTTTGGAGACTGCAACCATTAATCTGCTACCTTGTTTCCCTTTAATGCAAAATGACAAGCTCACGCATTTGTCTCGATTAGCCGAAATTTTACATGTAGCATTTCAAGACACTGGGCACATGTCAGACGTCAACATCATCAGCGCTCAACTTTGGACCTTATTTGACTAACGTCTTGAGCAGAGAATATAGTTGCACATGACAAGAGCGTGTCCGCACCAACTAATAGCTATCCGTGGAACCTCAGCCGGTGGGCGCATGCTGTGCTGTTGGAGCGACCAACATCACAGCGAACATGCTGAGAGCGGGACTGTATGGGACCTCGCCTCCTGCTGAAAGTGTAGATGTTTGGAGCCTCATTTCCTGCTGAGAGAGTGCTACTATCACATGGATGGCAACATACAAAACTACGCTGATCGGGTCAATTTTGGTGGCAGATATCAATAATTTAAACTAAAATATTGTCATGTTCGGGTAAAGTTAGCTAAATAAATGAATTAAACCAAGATATTGGCAAAATGGTGATAATGCGACAGGCATAGTTACACTGTCGCGGCATCTCAGCCGATTGCCTAATAGCATTGCTTGAACCTGGACTGGGTGCGGGCTTGGTCGGGCTCGACAATGTTTGTTCACAATGTCAATGAATTTCCATTGATTTTTGGTTTTGCCAGTTGCGATCAACGCATCGCAAACACTGCAAAATTTTGAGTGGATGGAGTGCTAATGAACAAGATCAGACGCCTGTACTTCGGGATCACTGTCTCGGCTCAAGCCACAGCATGCCATGCATATATATAATTTAATCAATATTAGCCGTTGAAAATAGCAGCAGTTTCGTTGCTTGTGATCTTCCTAGATGTACCTTCAACCTTGCGTATAAAGTGGTTTCTTTGTGGACTGCGCTTGTTAAGAATTGAAGCAAATCTCATTGCGAGAACATTCCGAATGAATTGCATTCTTGTCGCTTTTCGTACATTTAGTCGACTTTCGTCCATCTTTTGACATTTTCGTATTGATGAACTTACAGAGAACTCTAATCTACGCACCATAGCTTGGAGGCAAATTACAAAACGCAGTGTACTTCTTTTCATACGACCACTATCGTAGACAGATGCCATAACGTGAGACGGCTTTAAGTGCTCGAGGCTGTATACACAAACGACATGGACCCATCTATCAACAAACAGGTCAACGCGCGGGGAACCCTGGTGCTTTGCCATGGGCCCACGGCAAATACCTCATACGCCAAGACAGTACAACTGAGGAAAAGAACTTAAGTGGGAGTCAATTTAGAGGTTGAAAACTAGCTTCTATGCGTTCTTCATTTAAAGTAGTCTCTGATTATGCCTAGCACGCGTTGCGTGTTCGTGAAGAACTACAAAATGAGGAAGACGCTGACGTTTTGTAAGTTGTCTCCAAGCTACGGTGTGAACATTTCTGAAAGATGTGGAGGCTATTACGTAGTTTCATCTTTTAATTACAACCCATGGTGGGTGTTACCTGATATTATTGCGTGTGACAACTGTGGTTTTAGGCTAATGTCCTATGTCTTGGAAATGTGAAAAGATTGACGAAACGTCCACCAAATATAAGAAAGACACATGAAGGTGGTTCACTTTGAGTGTTCTCGCAATGAGTTTTGCTTCATTTCTCAAAAAGCACAGTCCAGAAAGCAAGCACGTAATACGCAAGATTGAACATACGCACCAGGAGATCACAAGCAACAAAGCCGCTGCTATTTTAGACGCCCAATGTTTATATATACATACACATGTGTACATACTACATACATGTTTATGTATATATATATATATATATATATATATGTATATATATCTCTCTCTCTCTCCCTCTCTCTCTCTCTCTCTCTCTCTCTCTCTCTCTCTCTCTCTCTCTCTCTCTCTCTCTCTCTCTCTCCCCTCTCTCTCTCTCTCTCTCTCTCTCTCTCTCTCTCTCTCTCTCTCTCTCTCTCTCTCTCTCTCTCTCTCTCTCTCTCTCTCTCTCTCTCTCTTTCTGTAAGTGAACTGTCGCTAGTACTTTCGCCAGACACCGTACAGCCGGTTTTATGTCTCCCCCCGTTCTGCTTGTTGAGACCTGACATCGGGGCTCAAACACACGTCCCAAAGCGGGCGATTCCATGGTATGCGCTTTGGTAGCGCATGCCGATACCATGGCGTGCGCATCGGAAGCGCCTGCACATTCCATGGCGTGCGCATCGGTAGCGCTTGCCGATTTCATGGTGTGTGCATCGAAACCACCTGGAACTTCTGTGGCATGCACATCGGTAGCGCCTGCCGATTCCATGGTATGGGCATCGGCAGCACCTGCCGATTCTATAATATGCGCATCGGCAGCGCCTGCCGATTCCATGGTATGGGCATCGGCAGCACCTGCAAATTCTATAATATGCGCATCGGCAGCGACTGCCGATTCCACGGTATGCGCATCGGCAGCGCTTGCCAGCTCGGACGCATCGACCCTTGCCTTTACAGTGCAGTTGTCTGTATTTTTCCCGTCAGTGTGAGTTGGTCTCGAGTCGCTGCGACGTCCGGTCGCCATGATCCGGATCTGCCTGTGATGAATAATTATACAATATCGTGCTATTTAAACACGTATCGTACAAATTCATCTTTTTTTAAAAAAAGAAACTGAGTATTTTAAATGGATGGATTTCTGGATGGATCAGAGCTCATGCTCGGTAGTACTGGTTTTGTGATGGCTGACGTCTACCATCCAATCGCGCAATTCCATGTCAACGGCAGAATTTGGTGGCGCAAGCTTAATGTGCCGCAGTGCTCGGCACGGTCCGTCCTGCCCTCTGACGTCATCTTACTTGTTTGGCGCCACCGCCACCGGGCGCAGGCCACGCCTGTAGAGGGCAAAGCATAAAGCGTCTAAAAGCGACCCGAGCTCACCACGCCACGGGTGGGTGAATCGGAAGGCAGGCGCTCTATCAGCCGAGCCATTGGGACAGACAGCACGGCGCTGGCATTATGGTGATGAAAATATGGCATGGTGACGTCATTATGGTGATGAAAATATGGCATGGTGGCGTCACGGTGATGCTGCAACATTGCAAAAAATGGTCCGATGAGACAATTTGCTTGTGAATGAAAAAGGACTGATACTTCACAGCTTTTTGCCGCAGATGACAACAGCAAACATTGCTCGTCGCGTCCGCACGATACGAGCCTCACGGGGCAGGTGTCCGCACGATACGAGCCTCACGGGGCAGGTGAGCCGCGCGATACGAGTCTCACGGGGCAGGTGAGCCGCGCGATACGAGCCTCACGGGGCAGGTGAGCCGCACGATACGAGTCTCACGGGGCAGGTGAGCCGCGTGATACGAGCCTCACGGGGCAGGTGAGCCGCGCGATACGAGCCTCACGGGGCAGGTGAGCCGCGCGATACGAGTCTCACGGGGCAGGTGAGCCGCGCGATACGAGCCTCACGGGGCAGGTGAACCGCGCGCTGCTGCGACCGGCGCTGACCGCGACCATGTTTTAGCACTACACGCAGACGGCTGCTATAGAGTACCGCTGTCACTGGACGGGACCACAGACGGCTGCGACAGAGTACCGCTGTCGCTGAACAGGGTCGCAGACGGCTACGATAGAGTGTGAACGGTGTGAACTGTCGCTGAACAGGGCCGCAGACGGCTGCGACAGAGTACCGCTGTCGCTGAACAGGGCCACAAACGGCCACGATAGAGTACCGCTGTCGCCGAACAGGGTCGCAGACGGCTACGATAGAGTACCGCTGTCGCTGGACGGGACCACAGAAGGCTGCGATAGAGTACCGCGTCGCCGAACAGGGCCACAAACGGCTACGATAGAGTACCGCTGTCGCCGAACAGAGTCGCAGACGGCTGCGATAGAGTACTGTAGCTGGACGGGACCACAGAAGGCTGCGATAGAGTGCCGCTGTCGCTGAACAGGGTCACAAACGGCTGCGATAGAGTACCGCCGTCGCTGAACAGGGCCGCAGACGGCTGCGACAGAGTACTGCGTCGCCGAACAGGGCCACAGACGGCTGCGATAGAGTACCGCTGTCGCCGAACAGGGCCACATGCGGCTTCGCCCGCCGGCGGGCGTTAGACATTACTAGCTGCAATTGATTAGGCTTGTACGCTGCTGCCTGGTGGTGCCCAGCACGCCTGTAAACACCGAGGTGAGCTGACTGCTTCAGCGTTGACGAATCATGGCTTTCGCGGGAATCCGGGTTGAACT